TCCTTTCCTCCCTCCCATTTCCTTCCTTCCTTTCCTTCTTTCCTCCCTCCCAACCAGTTTTCAAAATTCAAAAGCTGAAGCTTCTTTGGTTCGGACGCTTCAAAACGCTCTCAAGGAACAAACAAGCCACCCGTCCAGTTGCTTTTGGGGGGAAAAGCCCCTTAGGGGACAACCGTGTCCTGGATGGTGGAGAATTTACTGAAACTGACATTTGATTCAAAGGAGACTTTTTTAGCCTACGAGAGAGAAAGAGAAGGTGATCACTCGAAGCCCGAGAGTGTGTGTGTGGGAAAGAAATCCGAGTTTTCAGATCCCCATTTCACCCAGATCTCTGAACCGCGGGCAGGAAGGCTTGGCCAAGCAGGGGCGTTGGTTGCCCGTACAAACTGCCCCTTTGTGCAAAAATTGGGCCTCGGGGAAAGGAGGACATTTGTGCAGCTGGACGGTGTCAAATCTCCACTTTTATTTTTTCTGCATGCAAAACCTTTGAACAACAACAACAACTAAAAAGCCTCTTTGTGTTGGAAATGTGTTTCCCGAGGCCGCTTTGGCACAGCCGGCCACCCATGGCCGCTGTCCCGGACAAAGCATTCTCGCGCCTGGACTCCGGTGCTTCCCTGCCGGGGGGGGGGGGGGGGGAAGGGGAAGGGAACGGGGCAGCTTGGATGCAGCTCACTTGCTGGTTTTGGGTGCCGGTTCTCTCACCAAATTCAGGAGTTTGTCCAGTTTTGCGATCTCCACTTCGGGCCCTTTCTGGACCTCTTGGCCCTTTTTCTCCTGCAACAAGAGAAACGCAACGTCGTCACCATCTCGTTTCCCCGTTTGCAAAGAACAACGTGGGACGATTGTGCAAAGCGGGCATCACAGAGCGTTGTGTGGGTGGGGGATGACCCGAAGGGGCGTGGCACAAAGGCAACACAGTCAGAGAAGCAAGAAGGGTCCCATTATGATCTCCAATTTTGCCCCCAAGGTCCTGGTTACCTTCTGGCTGGAGAAATACTCTCCTAGGAACAGCCTTTGATTACAGAGAATTAAGTCCAAAACAAGGGACACACAAACTGTAACTTAAAGTCCAAACAAACCAAACTGAAGTGATTTGCTTGACAGGGCAGGAGAAGGAATTGCAGGCTTGAAAGCACGGCAAAACTCACACAGTTGGGAAGACACCAGGAACACAGATAAGCCACGACAACGCAGGATAAAGTCACATTTGCTCCCAGAAGCCTGCCTTTCTTATCAACAGTCTTCCCAAGTATGGCTATTGAAAGGAATCAGGGCCCTTTCCTCCCCCATAAGCCACCCAACTCATCTTGCTCCCTTCTCCGTTCCTCCCTGCGTGCCCTAGGATGAAGAGGTGGGTGGGCCTGGGTCTTCCTCTGAACTCCCTCTCCCTTGTTCTACCTCTCTCCTGCTCTGCCCAGCCGGATTTTGCCCTTCCCCAGTTTCCTCCACAGCCAATGGAGCCACGCTCCCACTGTCAGCTGTCTGGCTTCCTCCTCGGATTCAGACTCCAACAGGGGCATGACAGCGTGTGTGTTGTGTCTGTGTGTATGTTGTTTGATGATGGTGGTGGGTTTTAAAAGGAGGTACCCGCAACAAGGAGGACAGGACTGAGGTTGTCCAACCTGGTTCACTTGGCTAGGGAATGAACTCTGCGGATCAGTTTGTGCAGGACTGCCGTGTGATGAATTGGGCCAGGATGTCTGCAACCTTAAACATCAAAGAGCCACTTGGACCCATTTCCCACAGAAAAGAAAACACCGGGTGGGCGTGGCCAACTCAATGTCACTTCCACCCAGTCACATGACCCAGTCACCTCCCACAGTGCCTATGCAGGTTTTATGGCTCCCGGTGTTTTCTGTGGGAAGTGGGCCTCTCTTTCTCTCTCCCTCCCTCCCTCTTCCTTTCCTTCCCTCTTTCTCTTTCCCTCCCTCCGTCTCTCCCTCCCTCTCTCTTTCCCTCCTTCCCTCCCTCCCTCTTTCTCTCTCCCTCCGTCTTTCTCCCTCTCTCTCTCTTTCTCTCTCTCTTTCTCCCTCCCTCCTTCTCTCCCTCCCTCTGTCTTTCTACCTCTTTCTTTCTCTCTTTCTCCCTCCCTCCCTCTTTCTCTCTCTCCCTCCGCCTTTCTCCCTCTTTCTTTCTCTCTCTTTCTCCCTCTCACTCCCTCCCTCTTTCTCTCCCTCCCTCTCTCTTTCCCTCCCTCCGTCTCTCCCTCCCTCTCTCTCTTCCCCTCCTTCCCTCCCTCCCTTTTTCTTTCTCCCTCCCTCTCTCCCTCCCTCCCTCTATCTCTCTTCTCTCTCTTTCTCCCTCTATCTCTCTTTCTCTCTCTCTCTCTCTTTCTCCCTCTCCCTCCTTCCCTCCCTCTCATTTCTGTTTTTTGTATTTTACCTTCTCAGGCCAGGCGAGGAGTGACTGGGAGGGGAGGGTGAGGGGAGGGGCCAGCCAGTAGTAGGATCACCCAACAGGGAGCCACAGCAGACGGCCCAAAGAGCCCCATGCAGCTCTAGAGCCACAAGTTGCTGACACCTGGGCTAGGATGACCCAATTGGTGAAAATGCAATAAAAAAAAGGACACAAGAAATGACAGCCAGAATTATTCTCCAACTTCTGGGAATAACAACAGCCACACATCTAACAACCACCACAGCCACAGCCACGCACTGCCATGAATTACTCAGGACCAAAGACAAGAGACAGGAGGATGAAAAGAAGCAATGTAATTTACAAAATCTATTGTAACCATTGAAACTGATTTCACGTCGACTGAAAACCGAGATCCACAAACAACGGTTGGCAGTCAAAAGCCATGACCCCCCCCCCCCCCAAATCCTTAATCCAGAGGTCTCCAAGCTTGGCAACTTTAAGACTTGTGGACTTCAACTCCCAGAATTCTCCAGCCAGCACAATTTTTGGCTTCGTTGCGTTTTTACAAACGGGAAGCTGAAACCTGAGCCCGGGCCAGAGGATTGCTGGCGCTGTGCTCCTCCAAATTGCAACGCTCGCAAAACCACCCATGTCCTACACATGACCGTTGAGACAACGGCGCTTTGTTTGTGTTGTCTGGGGTGACTTGTGAGCCACCATCCCCAGGCTGGGAGGGGGTCCGAGCCCCCTTTGCTCCTGCCCCTCCTGCCGCAAGCAGCCTGCCGGTCCACGACTTGTTCATCTTGCAGAGGGAAAACCAATCAGGCTAACCAGGTTGGTGAGGTCTGTGATCTTCATGGCGGCAAAGCCAGGCCAAGCTAGGCTAATCTTGGTTTGTGGCAACCAGGAGACGCTTGCAGAGGAAGAAAGTGAGGTGTGGGAAAACCCCTGTTTTGCCCCGGAAAGGGGTGAATTGCAGCAACCCCTTTGAGGCAGAGCCTGGAGGGGTTGTGCAGACAGGGATCGTACCCCACCTGACTCCCAATTTCTTCTCCGAAACCGAGTTCTACTTTGGTGGTTCTGCCGGGCGAGTGTGGCTGCAGTGCTCCGTTAGGAATTGGGCAGAAACGCACAAAGTCAGGCGGTGTGTAGGACACAGTCCAAAAAGAAAGCAAGATAGGGGCCACAGTGAAGGTCCACCTAGGTTTTAGGTGCGAAACAAGTCAAAGTTGCATATCAGGTGAAAGCTGAAATAGCCCTAGAAATTTGTAGCTCAAGGATGAACTCTGGGGTGGGGTTTTCTTGCTGACGTTTCACGACCCAACTAGGGAACATTGTTGGGGTATTCCCCGTTAGGAGAATGAGTGCATTCAGGGAAACGTAGTGAGAGTGGTGAGGAATAACACACAACCATCATACAGATACACTGAATAGTAAAATGTAGGTTTTACTTCCTGTAAAGGGGTAAACAAGGTCCAACAAACAGTCCAAATCTTACACAGTTAAAGCAGGTAGTATTCAATACAATCAGTCCAGGGATAATCCCAAAACAAAGTCCAGTATCATAAAGTTCAGTAAATGGAGTTTGCTAACAGTTTGCAAGACTCACAGCAATTCCAGCAGAACGATGTTCAGGCAACAGGCAATAGGGAAAATGCAAAAAGAGAGAAACCAGGATGAGGAGCACAGGCCTCATCTAGCCTGGAGAGCTGCCAAGCAACTATTTCCAAACGCAGTGCTGACAAGAAAGGACTCAGCACGAGTCTCTGAGATGCACAGGCAGATGGCTGCAACAAATGAATTGTTTCCTGCAAAAGCCCCCTCCCCTTTTGATTCTCTTTTAAACGCTCTGGGAGGGGCCATTCACCATACACCTGTGCCTTTACTCCCAAGTCGGACCTTGTTCCTTAACTGTTCCCTTCTTCTGACAGCTCTGTGCATGCGCACATTGGGAACAGGCTCCAGCTATTCTTCTGCCCCTCTGATCTCTGACTCCAAAGGCAGCCGGGAAATGTCGGACGGCCCTGGCTCCATCTCTGCCCCGACGCAGAGCCCTCGTCCGAGCTTCCTCAGCCTCCAAGACTGGCCCGTATTCCTCCCCAACCTCCTCACTGTCCGCCTCTGCTGCCAGCTCCGCTAGCCGCCGGCGGGCCACAACAACTGGTCTTTCGCAGAGGCTACTAAAAACAAAGCGCCCGGAGGAAGACAGAGAGTTTCTAGCTTAAGCCATCCTTAAATTTCTAGGCTTCAAGGATTTTCCATTTACTCTGTCTCCCCAAAAAGATTTTTGCCTCTACACCAGCCCTCAGCAAATTCCATTTGGGGTCCTGAAGAGGAGGAATCAAGAAGAAACCGGAAGGCATAAATAAGAGAGGAAAGAAGAGGAAACCTTGCCTTTAAGATGAGGGGACACCAGCTCCCTGAATTCCCCAGCCGGCCACTTTATTGTCTTAAAGTCATTACGGTTGAGAAACAAGAAACCAAAATCATCGCTTTATGAAGCTTTAGTAAGACCCCACCTGGAAGGATGCTACGTCCAGTTTTGGTCAGCACATTACAAAAAAAAGAGGTCGAGACTTTGGGAAAATGTGCAGAGAAGAGCAACTAAGAGGATCAAAAGTCAGGAGACTAAAAGAAAAAACGTGTGAAGAGCAATAGCAGGATTTGGATTTGGCCAGTCTAGAGATAAGAAGGACCAAGGGGTGGGGGGTGGGGGGGACATCATAGCAGTATTCCAATATTTGAGGGGCTGCCCCCCCAAAAAAGAAATGGGGGGGTCCATTTATTTTTCAAAGCACCGGAAAGCACGACAAGAAACGACGGATGGAAACTCACGGAGGAGAGAAGCAACCTCGAATTAAGGAGAAATTTCCTAACAGGGAAGACCGTGAACCAGTGGAACAGCCTCCCACCAGAAGTTGTGGGGGCTTCTTCATCACTGGAGCTTTTTAGGAAAAGACTGGACATCCACCGGTCTGAAATGGTACCATAGGGTCTCCTGCTTGAGCAGGGGGATGGACTAGAAGACCTCCAAGGTCCCTTCCAACTCTATTTTGATGGATTGCTGGAAACTAAGAAGTCTTCCTTCCGCTGAGCTGCATTCTTTACTTCCGGCATTTCTCCATACCATGACTTCCCCTTCCTCTTCTTCCTCCCTCCTTCCTTCCTTCCTTCCTTCCTTCCCTCCCTCCTTCCTTCCTTCCTTCCTTCCAAGGGTCAGTTTTCAAAATTCAAAAGCTGGAAACTGGACTCAGCAATATCTGAGAGAGGAGCGTAATTCTCCTGTTTTCCCGTCCCTTTTTCTTTTTTCTTTTTTTCCGCAACGTCCCGTCCAGGGCAGCCTACTCTGAGGACGTGCTACTCTTGATTCCCAGAGCATGCAATTTCATCCCACATCCCTAGTTGGGTCATGAAAT